CAAGTAAAGGTTGCATATTCTTCGTTTTTTTACTCTTATCTATTATACTTGATATTTTTTTAAATCACCTAAAGTCAAAAATCTAATTATTCAAGATTCCACGCTTGTTGCTGCCCGTTTGAAAAGGTACTTAGCGAAGCTAATAAAGAAAGAAGAAGTAAAAAGCAAAGTCAAATGTGAAAAGCTCTAAGAAGATTATGAAAGTACTTGTAGCAGTTAAGGGTAATATTATAGCCTAATCTTCAAGGATCAGCTATTTTTGATAAGTGGAATATTACTTAAGTATATCTTGGTTAGTAAATAAGAGTAACTTGATGGACACTGATCATAGTGCGTTGACAAATTGTTTAGGAATTTATTTTGCAACCTGCTATGAATTTTGTATCAATTGGTATGTCTTTGTTAGAGCAAAGTAACAACTTGATATCGTGCACATTCCAACCTTGTGCTAATGTATTTAACGGAATGCGACGAAATGTCAACGAAATTTTATTAAAACAAATAAAAAGATGTTGAGGAAAGGAAACTTTTACTTTTTACTGGAAACGAGGCATTCCATCTTAATCCTCACTGGTGACAATGCATCTACATTTTGATTTGTAATCGAGAATAGATGTTGATGTCTATGGGCCGCAGCAATCACTTACCATCAGGTGGACTTTGTGCTCGTTTGTCACCCTATCCTATAAAAAAACATTCCTGATTCGTTGTACTTTTTTATTGGCCGGAGCCTTGTGTGTCTCCATTTTTTGTAATATAAAATATAATAAATCATTTGTCGGTTATAGGCATAAAAAATCTTTCTAAACACATAAATAAGATAGTCTTTTATTTTCTCATCTATGAAGTAATAAGTAACACCACACCAACACCATCATCAGGCCTGTTGTGACATGTTTGTGACTTACGCCTGTGAAACCTGGACTTTAAATAAATAAAATATTGACAAAGTGGACGCCGCAACAAAAGAGACCGATAGGAAGGCCTAAAAAGCGTTGGAGTGACTGTGTAGAAGAGGATCTCAGGAGGATGGGAAAGTTTACCAGCTGGAAGAAAGTAGCCTGGCAGCGTGACAACTGGAGGAAGATTGTGGAGGAGGCCAAGACCTACAAAGGGTTGTAGAGCCAACGGAAGTAAGTAAGTAAGAAGTAATAACTGATGTAATTCAGAACTGTGTATATGTTTTAATATAAAATACGTAATATTGTATTTAATCTTTAAAACGTACAAAAGGTTGATACCTGCGGAGTTTTTTTATTTGTCCTATCTCGCTTAAAGTCGTGTCGTTGCAGTTTTTTAGTACAAGGGTGATAAGCGACCTTACAGTCCACCAGTGAGCCACAGACATTTACTATCCTCAGTTAAGAATCACAATGCATATGCGTGTCATCTCTGATGACTAAGGTGAAATGGCTTTCCGGTTTGCTACAATCACCACACAAAACACAGCAGCATGCTGCTGCTATTTTACACTGATATTCTGTGTATGTTTTCCTCCGAGTAACTCAGACCTCACCTCAGAGTAACTTCATTTTCAAACGTAGTCGATCTAAAATGATTTTGACTAACTCAATTTAAAGTAAAAAAAAAAAAAATGTCTTCCGTCGGAGGAATTTACTATTTTATTTTATTTCATTTCATAGATTAGACATTAAGCCGGGTGTTAGCGGTATGAGGACATCTTAAACTCTATTGCGTTCCTTGGGCGTGGCAACTAAGGGAAAAGTTGGTAAGATCTCATGGTTTGCAATAAATTGCGATATCAAAGTATGAGGCTAGGCCATATGCATAATTTCATTTTGACATTGTGAAGTTTGAGTTTGGTCTCACTCGATAGGGTCTCTAAATATCGCCCTCAATCTTAGTGTTGTAGAATTATTTGATTATAATACGAGTATAAGAAATTACAATATTATGTCAGATCCCGACCAGTGCTGAGGCTCTTAGTATTGTTATAGGAAATCCTATGTCGATTAGTTTCGTTAATGTTTTATTGGATGGAATGTTAGAAAAGGGACAATGTAATGAATAAGAAAAACAGGTTGATCATACATTGCTATAAAGCCGGCAACGCACCTGCAATTCCACTGGTGTTGCAGTTGTTCATGGGTGGCGGTCGACACTTTCCACCAGGTGAGCCGCATGCTCCTTTGCCCACTCTGCTATAAAAGCATTATGGAAAATCGCTTCATTTAGTACGTTAAATTTCTGACTTGATAAAATGTGCACAAAATTAATTATTTTCGTCCGAATTGTTTGCGTTCTTAGGCCATGAGTTCTTCATGTGTTCTTTTACTGATGAAGTGCTTATACGTGGTATGGTAGCACGAATGAGTTGGCTCGACTGGGGAAGGACCACGCTCTCACAGAAATCTAACGTAAAATAGTAGCTTAATGCTGTGTTTTTCGTATGGTCATAGTATGGTGAGTGTAGAGAACCGGAGACCCTTTTTACTAGAAACGAGGCATTTCATCTTAGTCCTCACGGGTGGCCACGCATCTGCATTTTGATTCGTAAACGATCACTTACCATCAGGTGGACTGTGTGCTCGTTTGTCAACCTATCCTATTAAAAATAACATTTAATCGAATCGATTACGATGAATCTTAGAAGAATTGTTTGTTCGTTTTCTATGTGTTTCAATTTAATTCATTCAATTACGAGAATTGCAACGTATACCGGGAACACTTACTCGTATATTAAACTAATAAAACCAATAAAAATATAACCCTTTGGCCCATAATTGAAAGACAAATTTTATAATAGATGAAATTAGTTTCATATTTTTTAAGATACAATCGAAAAAAAATCACGTTTAAAAATATTAAAATTAAAAATCAAAAAATCATTGCATACTAATGAAATTGTTAATTTTTAATTATAAGCGTTGTTTGAACTGTACATGAGGTCGGATCTAAGTTCAGTAAGACCCACTCCAGAAAAACACAAAAAACTATCCGATTAGACTCTTAATCTCATGGCTGTTAGACGGTAAATGAAGCTGCAGTCTTCAGCAGATTGGACAGTATAAAGTCAACTGAATAGACAAATTGTAATTGAAAATCGAAATGTATGCGGCGGGACTTACGTAACTTTAATACAGCTGGTACTGAAGAAGCAATTGAGTGGAAACAGGGCTCCAAAGTCTTTGCCAGAAATTTGTCTGACAGAAAGTTGAACTGTCGAAGCTGAAGACCGAGTGTGGCAGCATTGACACCTGTTATTTTGAGTGAGATTGAGAGGTTCTATGGGCAGCTGTTCACGTCATCATTGGAGTCACACGCAAGTGTGAGTAACAATCCAAGGGCAAGTCTTATCCTACAATATTCCAATAATGTTTCGGACGTCAGTCTGAGCGAGATTAGAATTGCTCTCTAGCACCTTAAAAAAAATAAGTCCCCACGCGAGGATGGAATCACAGTGGAGTTTCTGAAAGCGGGTGGAAAACCGATATTTGAAGCCCTCGGAAGCTCCCTAATTCCTTATCCCATGATGAGATAATATCCACCGTAGCGTACAATCAACCACGTGATGTTAAATACCCGAAACTCTTCACCGTTGCATTAGAAAGCGTTTTCAAGTTACTGGACCTTATCCTGGATCTTTATCAGTAAGAATACGATGTTAACATCAATAGCGAGTACATCACTCACCTTTAATTTGCCGACGATTAGCAGAAATGCTGGAGAACTTAAGCAATACGTTCAATGACCTCAATAGTGTCTCCCAGGGGATAGGTCTTAAGATGAACATGGACAAAGTAAAGATCATGTGTAATGTCCATGTCACACCTATGCCGGTAGTTGTTGGGAGTACTAAATTCGAGAACTAACTCATTAAGTTGTAGAGGAGTACAGAGAAAAAACGTTCTCGAGTAGCAGCCTTGTACTGGCAGGCGAAATGTAAGGCATCCTTCCTCTAGATGTAGTAACGATTTGGTAAGACATACAGGAAGACGATGTATGCAGGTGGCTCAGGACCGTGCTTTGTGGCATTCCTTGGAGGAGGGCCTATGTTCAGCAGTGGACTTGTGAAGGGCTCTAATGATGGATGATGATGATGATAATGAAGTTAAGATAAGTGAAGTTCATTTATCACATGTGCTTGGACGTAAAGGTCATCTAAACCCTGAAGAAATCTATATGTAGCCCTCGCAGACTGTGGGGATGTAATTGCTGCTTCCCTTGGTGTCGAGAACAGGCGCAGAGTAGCTGGCTTATTTCTGTGTTATACAGGATTCATATCGGAGAGCGTGCGCTGGAATAATATACCTTGATTTCTTCCCCCCATTCCACCATCAGACAACGAGGCGGTTGGCGGGCCTTCATCTCTTTTGTTGTTAATATTCCACGTATTCAAACCAAGAGGTTTGCTTTTTATACAGCAAGGAAATGAAGGAGTGAAATAATTTGCCAATGGCTGCCCTTCTATCCGATGACAGTCCGGATGTCTTCAACAGAAGAGTGAAAAGGCTTAGTGCAATTTGCTATCTTAGGCTTCGTTACCAATTGCCATCAGATGGGATTTTAGTCAAGCACTGGCTTATCCCTTTATAAGGTAAAGGCAGTATACATGCCACCAACTAATCTATTTTTTATTCCTATTTGTATTGTCGATGGTCCTTTTATTTTTCACGTATAACATTGATCATTTTTACTTCATAAATGAGTGTCCCATTGACAGATACTTCAAAGCTGTCGAATCAAAGCCAGCCATAATTGCGTGAAATTTCATTTAGTTAGATCTTCTTAAATTTTGGCTAAAATGGTAAGATAACTTATTGATTATTATTTTGTATGTATTGTGCTAATGTTTTGCGTGCGATTTTGGCATTGAACGTTTGGTAACTTGTTTTATTTCAATTTTTATTGGTGGCAGTATCTATGCCACTACCCTCAACCACCAGGAAAAAAAAAATAAGCACGAGACAGAAAAATTTTTTTTTTTTTTTTTATTGTCTAGTGACCCATTTTTTAGAGTCGACGAAATAGCACAAGTAATGACGTGCAAAGGGTTCAAAAAATTTTTAGAAAACCTTCAACTAAATGATAATTCCAAAGCTCCTGCTAAAACAAGTAATGAATATGACAAACTATATAAAGTTCGGCCTGTCTTGGAAATGTTGAACAATGCTTGTCAAAGAGAAGCTAAACGAACAACCTCCCAATTCATAGACGAAGCAATGATACGATTCAAGGGTGTATCATCTTTGAAACAATATATGCCTGCCAAACCTATCAAAAGGGGATTCAAGGTTTGGGTTCGTGCGGATAGCTCTACTGGTTATGTATACGAATTCCAGATTTACACCGGTAAAAATAAAAACAATACACCGGAGTTAGGTCTGGGTGAAAATGTTGACAAAAACTCTAATTGACGAGAAAGTTCAAGCGCACGTAGCTTTCGATAATTTTTTTGCCTCATATCCTTTGATGCAGTACCATTATGACAATGGGATTTATTCTACTGCCACTGTCAATATAAATAGAACTGATTTAACGACATTCGTAAAAGCTAAAAAAAAGAGTACAATAAAGCTTGAAAGAGAAATTACAAATTACAAATGGAGAGTGAAGAAGGATGTTGGGTTCATGATTTGGAAAAATACAAAAAATGTTACATTGTTTGAGCTTTTCCATCCCAAAGAAAAGACCGTTTGTCAGAGAACAATGAAGGATGGCACAAAGAAGAATTTTCAATGCCCTTTGGCGATTACTGAGTATACAAAAAGAATGGGAGGTGTTGATCGGTTCGATCAAAAAAGAAGCACGTATGAAGTTGGACGAAGGAATAGGCGTTGGTGGTGCAGGATTTTTTGTTTCCTGATCGGCTTGGCTATTACAGATGCTTTCATATTGCACTCTGTTTCACCGAGAAATCACGGACGCTTGTCGAATCTACAATTTCGCATCGCAATTGCTAGATCGCTCATAGGAAACTACTCGTCCAGAAAGAGGAGCCTATCTAACGAACCTAATTTCATTGCAAAAAAAGCAGGTTACTCTCAGTACTAGCTATTAGAAAGTTGTAGGAGTTCAAGACGATATACGTTACGAAGATGTTGGAAAACACTTGATAGATAAGTCTGACACACCGCGCAGATGCCGTTTATGTAGTACAAAGACAAATAACGTAAGAAGTAAGTTCTCATGTACGACATGTAAAGTATTTTTGTGTGCTTACACTTGCTTTACTCAATTTCACACAAGAACTGCAGAGTACATTAGATAAATATAACTTATGATATATTATATAAAGATAACTACCAAATTATGTCAAAAGCCAAAAAATTTATGAATCTCAAATAGTCTCTAGTTGATTGATGTTACTATACCATAATAGCTATAAGTATATTTTTCTAAAGATAAATATTTTTCTATTTTCAATTATTTACTCTTTCATTTATAATTAAAAATGAATATAAAAGATATAGAACACAAGTAATTTACTTAAATTAACAGAAACATTACCCGTCTAGTATGGGCAGAGGCATGTATACTGCCACCAAAATTTTCACATATTTCCCACCATTTTTTCGAGATGAAAAAATCTTAAAAATCATAAAAAAATGTTTCCAACAACATACTAAAATTTCATTTTCGTACCACTTCTACTTTTCTCGGCCTTATAAAGGGTTATAAAGCTACAGCCTTTATACGACCCACTGCTGGGCACAGGCCTCTTATGATTTCTGAGAGTGTTGAAAATATCCGCCGAACTCCCCTTTGCATGTTGGCGAACATCACATCACAAAAAAGTAAAGTTACAGCCTATATACGTCCCACAGCTGGGCACAGGCCTCCTCTCATTTCTGAGAGGGTTTTAGGGCAAGGAATTGTCCAACATACTCCCCTAATGAGTGTTGGCGAACTTCACATATCTTCGAAAATATTTTTTTCTTATTTCTCAGAAATGCAGGTTTTCTCGCGATATTTTCCTTCACTGCCAAGCACATGGCAAATCAGCACTTAAAATTGCATTTAACAATTTCGTTGGTACTTGTGGGGATCGAACGCGAGTTGCTCGGGTACTGTGAAATTATATATAGCGAGCGCTTAAGTCTCACTAGCTTATAATAAGTAAAAAAGAAATGTCTGTAGAGAAAATAAATACGAGATGTGAAGACCGCTATCACGCACCGGCTTAGCATGGCGGATTACTTACTCCATAGTTGCCTTAGAAATGACAGGAGGCCTATGTTCAGCAGTGAGAGCATAATGGCTAGAACTTACCCTTTGGACGCTGCAGAGCTACGCGGCAGCTATATTACGTCATGAATTGCAGCATGGATTTATCGGCTAAACCGGTGAACCACCGGTGGACCACGCACAGAATACCACTGTAAAATATTTAACAATAATACAGCATTTAATGAATGCAGAGTGTTTCGCATGGTGAATGTAGAGAATCGGAGATATTTTTTATAGATAACGAGACGTTTTTCTTCATCCTTAGGTTCTCCTGTGATTTTTAATAGATGAAGATGTTTTTTTTTAATAAAATTTAAGTGAAAATCAAACTAACAGTCCACCTGATGGTAAGTAGCATTGCATTCCATATACACTACAGTAAAAAAAAGTAAAGTAAAGTTACAGCCTATATAGGTCCCGCTGCGGGCACAGGCCTCCGCTCATTTCTCAGAGGTTTTTAGGGCAAGGAATAGTCCGCCGCGCTGCCCTAATGCGTGTAGGCGAAAATTACTTTTGATACGTACAAAAAATAGGATAGAAGTGATTTTCTTAATGACGGCTTCTTTAATAACGTTCTAATTAGGGAAATAATCATCTCCATCACAAAATAAAGAGATTAATTTATTAAGTGCTCCTGCTAAGACCGATATAAGGTGTAGATATTGAATAAAATTATATAAATATCAATCGTACCTCATCATTATTTAAAAGATCTTATGATTTCTTACTCAAGGTAGAACAAAGCTAAATAAATTGGTATTCCATTTAAGGGTAAACATGAAAAATACATAAATCACAAATATAATATTTTATACATATACTTACTTATCTTAAATGTCTTCGAAATTTTTTTCTTATTTCTCTGACATGCAGGTTTCCTCACGATGTTTTCCTTCACCGCCGAGCACGTGGTAAATCAGCACTTAAAATTGCAATTAACAATTTCATTCGGATCGAACCCGATTTGCTTGCGTACTATGAAATTTACAGCGAACGCTAACCATCTGAACTACCAGGGCTTAAACTTAAAATAAGAAGGCTCTGTATCCAAAAAAAGATCTGTATCCGTTATCAACTCTATATCCAATATGACAACAACAATATATACTGGGTTCTAACCCTTCAAAAAGAAACAGGGAAGAGGGTGGTATCCAGACGGACTCAGCACAAAAGGAGTCCTGCCACCTTGATGTGGGTACAAAGTGCATACTCACCTTCAGGTGGACTGTGTGCTCGTTCGTCACTCTTATTCTTTAACTGTTAGATAATACCTATTGTTACTAACTTCGGTTCGGTCTGGTTGGTATTAGTGCAATAGAAGTAAGACAATAAAACGTTACGTATGGTGGCAGGGTAAGATATTATAACCGTCTCGTGGGTTTCGTAAAATACGACTCTTAAAGTCTTTGAACTGATTGAGGATGTTAACTTCGAGAGCTCTCTGGTGCAAAAGCAGCAACAGCTAGAGATTGAAAGTAAACCACCAGAACTTGTAGACGTACATGCTTCTGAGCTTTGCATATCTCATACTGCACCTACAAGTACACCAGAGTCATATCCCACACTAGCAGTTTCTGTTGCACCTGCAAACAACAAAGAAGATAACGCAGTCAACGTGCCCGTTTTATTCAAGAAGAAACAAAAAGGCCTTGGTTAATATGTCCCAATTGGGGACTGAAACGGAGACTCGTAAAGTATAGCGTAAAGGGTAGCGGTATATCTTTTCTTAATATTGGACCTTAAATACATAATCCGGTGACAGCCAGTAGCGTCAAAGGTGCAAGGTAATCTGGTGCTGTAATCGACGAACCTCTGTCAAGCCTGTTGGTTAAGGCAAGTGGAGAGGCACCTCGTATCCGACAGTGAATATGGACTAACAGAGGGAAGAGAAGATAATTCATTTATTAGTTCAACACTTCCCGCTTATATAATAGGGCTGCATGGATACGGCATGCTAGTAAAACGATACTGATACTTTTATAAAATATCGGTAATACCGGTCAGTTAATTTTAAAGAAAAATAAATTAAGATTGATGATAGGGATTAATCATGTTTTGTTTAAGTTCGGTTGATATTTCATCGATTTAAGTGGAGTTTCTTTTTTCAATGCATTTTGATTCGTAATCGAGGATATATGTAGATGTATATGAGCCACAGCAACCTCTTACCATCAGGTGGACTGTGTGCTCGTTTGTCACCCTATCCTATAAAAAAAAGACAGACGGCAAATTTTGGTCGTTATACTAAATTTCTAAAATTAATAACTAGAATGAACCTTGACCAGCTTTTTTAAACATAATATACCGGGTAGTGGTGGTGTGAGATTATCCACTACCCTATATCTTTCCCTGGGCAGCAAAATCTTCGTAATAACGACTAAAATAAAAAAAACAGGGATATTTGCCAATGCGCGTGCCTAGCATTGCAACTACGGCAACTATTATGAGACAATGACTGTAAAGATAACGGTAAAAATAAATATATATATATATATATATATATATAAATTAAATATCGCCAATGCTGACTTACATAAGCCATAGGTACTTTTGTCCCTCTGAAATATACCGACACATCCATAAAATAAATGTTTAGTTCCCAAGATAGAAACCAAAGATTATCATCATTTAATGCAATGAAAAAGTCCAAAAACTGTCTTATCTTATCCGTTTCATTTACCATATAAGGCATCCCCGTTGTCTACATACCAAGTGCTGTTATCCTTAAACAGATCAAACAATTCGCCGAGTACCGTAGTTTAGTGCAAAAAAATCAAATGCGTTTCAAACTTGAATCTTATCTTATAAAATGTGTCTTTTGTGCTTAAACTAAACCGTTAATAGAATATCCGGGCGGTGTTTAGTCCATACAAACAAATTCCTCTATTTTCTCCCTAGATAAGATAGTACAGCTTTTCTCACGATACAATCCACGTCTACCATTATTATGCTATGAATATGTTTCGTATTTCCCTTTAAATTAATGATTTTAAAACATAAGGATCTTGCAAAATTACATAAACTCTGTTATTGGATAGACATCCAGCAAAAAGTTTTAATGAAATTAAAAATAAAAGATAAACATGCATAGTCATAATAGCCACAATCTTATTATGGGTCTTATTAATTTAAATGGTCCAGTATTATGGGAGGAATACGGAATGATGCCTTCACCAATTTTTCTTAAGCTTAATCAGTTTGAGTAACATTTGTCCAACTCTGTCGTTCGGGCACTACACGACAGCAAAAGGTGATAAAAATCTATTCTTTAAATGTCTTACAGCATCTAGATCCTCTTAGAGCCATGGTAGCTTAAAGGCTAAGCACCCTTTATTAATTTTACGTTAAACTATTAACCCAGGTTCGAGTCACGCCACAACATGAAATTGTCAATTTCAATTTTAAGAGCTGATTTATTGATTTATAACGTTGGGCGGAGAAGTAAAATACTATCAAAAAAAAAATTGCATGTCGAAAAAATAAGGAGATATAATAATAAGCACAGAAGTAGCCCGGCGTACTAATAATTGCATAATAGCCCTATCAAAAAATGAGAGGTCTGTGCCCGGCAGTCGGACTTAAATAGAGTGCAATATAATTTTTAACTTTTTATGTTAGAGTTACATCTTTTCCATTGATTTTATCTAAATTGAATTGAACCCACTAATCTTTAAATTAAATTTTTAAGAAAACAATGTTGTTGGTGATAAGGTTCCCGTTATTATGGAAAAATATTTTAACCATTTTTATTAATTATATAACAACAGTACGTTTGATTTCTCCATTTGAGACAAATATGTATAATGTCATCAAATCCAAATAATTTTCGTTAAATTGTTTGTATTAATTCGTAACGAAACGCTTTTATTAAATGAATGTGATTTTTACGGATTTTATAGCGTTTAATATAACTTTTTAATTTACTAATTTACCCGACGTTTTGGGTGCTTTACAGCACTCTTGGTTATGGGTGGGTGGGAAGTGGGGGGAGCTGAGATGTTTGACATTCCGATGTCATAATTAGTTCGGCTACCTTCAGTTTTTGAATATTAATTTTTGGTCCGATCTACGCAGAATGAGCTTACAAGTATCGTGAAGTCTTGCAGTGGTATGCTTGGGCTTTAGATCTGCACAATCTCGAACTGATGGAAAGTCATCTGATGTTCCATAGCTGTCGACTTTAAAAAAGAAGTTTTTAGATATTGTGGGTGATGATTTTTGTTTGGGCTTTCCTGGTATTCGTGCAAATCCATTTGAAGATTCAAATAATGTCTAAGTTTTTTCTTGTATCTCATTAAATCATAGGGTGGCCAAAGTTTACATTTTTTACTTAAGCTACGATATCTTTATATTCTTTTGCGATAACTTAATAAGTTATTTGTAGATATTATATTGATTAAATTTTGTACAATGTATAATATGATTGCAGCTACATGTGTTTTGTGATGACAAAAGAATTTAATTCGTAATGACAATTGTTTCATCACATTTTATATTATTAACAGGCCGCATCGACTTCAAATACGTCCCAGGTACCTCTGCAGGAAGTCCAACAGTGAGTGGAACAAGAAGTTGTTCTTGATGTCTTTGAACTGATTGAGGATGTTAACTTCGAGAGTTCTCTGGTGCAAAAGCAGCAACAGCTAGAGATTGAAAGTAAACCACCAGAACTTGTAGACGTACATGCTTCTGAGTTTTGCATATCTTATACTGCACCTACAAGTACACCAGAGGCATATCCTACACTAGCAGTTTCTGTTGCACCTGCTGGAGGTGAACAACAACAAAGAGATAACGCAGTCAACGTGCCCGTTTTACTCAAGAAGAAACAAAAAGGGCCTTGGTTAATATGTCCCAATTGGGGACTGAAACGGAGACTCGTAATAGCGGCAATATTACGGAGTTTCTGCTAGTTCTTTATCGAATTCAACACGTTTTGGAACGCATTGAGAGAAGGTTGATTAGAAATATTTATGTTATACATAGAATTAAGTAAGTAAAGTAACAGTGGTAAATCAGTACTTAAAATATCAGTTAGCAGTTTAGCTGCCGACAGAGATCGAACCCGAATTTTTTGCGTTTTGTGAAATATACGGCAAGCCCTTAGTCGTATAGCTATTAAAGCACTACAATTTTTAGCTGACTTCATAAATGGTTATAAATTTGCATTGTATAATATTTCTGATAACAATAAAAAATAAATGCGAGAATAAGTCAAAAATCTGCACATAGGTAGAAAAAAAAATAAAAATAAAGAAATAAAGGGTTTTTGGTTTGTTACTTTTTTTGAAAATAGTAATAATATATTTTTAATTGATAAAAGATGTTAACAATTGCGTGTAGTGTCCTATATGGTCTATCATTTATTGGCATATGAATATTTAAATAGAATAAATTGTCCAAATAATTGCATAGATTATATCTTCACAGATTTCCTCATTGGGGGGGACACTTGCCATAATTGCCACGCATGGTAAGCGAGTTGACAACCAAATTTTGGATGTTTGGGAGAGCATCAACAATGGGTGTCATTAAGTATCTTCTTAAAGAGATACTCACAGTCACCTGTAAAAAGTACAATATAGTAAAAGTTTGGTTTTTTTGTATATCTATTTTTTATCATATACAGGCCCTACCAAGAAGCCATATCATCTCATTTGTGCTGAGGCCCTCTATGTGTGCCTTCAAAGGGTGATTAGCCCATATAAAAGAATCATGTGAAGGTCATACATAGCTGGTATTCACACTGGTTATATCTATAATATGGTTATATCTATATCTTAAATATTAAAAAAATATAGGAGAGGGGGCAAACGATCATACGGCTCACCTGATGGTAAGTAACTACCGCCGCCAATGATCAACTGCAACACCAGGGGAATTGCAGGTGCGTTGTCAGCCTTTTAGAAAGGAGTAAGCTCTTTTCTTCAAAGTCCCTAAGTCATATCGGTCTGAAAAAATCGCCGTAGTAAACTATTACATTGAGAGGTCGTATGCTGAAGAAAACTCCTAGTGAAATGTACAGTGGTGGACCGCCAAGCATTCAGAAGGTGTGGATGGTATGGATAGTTTTGTCGTGATGTGCGTTTATGAAATTTGGCAGCTGGAATTAATCTGAACAATTCCTCACAGCACTCCCCGTGGTAGATACGAAAGAAAATGTAAAGGGATGCAACATCTCTTCGTAGCGTCAGTGAATCGAGTCGATCGAAAAGTACTCGGTCGCCAACGATTCGAGCCGCTCAGCGCTGGATGCGGTCAAGTGGAAGGAGCCGGCACTGGGTAACCCTAGCCCAGAGATGGGAAGAGTTATTCCATGTGAGGCCAAACCTGCGCCTTGTAAAGTTGCAGGCGGTGTGCCGCCACGAAATACTGTGCCGCTCTGCTGAGCACGCCAAGTTTTATAGAGGAATTTGATCTTCTCTTCCAAGTGACCATGAAATTGCACGTCACTCCTTATGAAGACGCCGAGGATTCCGTTACTGGCTGAGACAACAAGGGGAGTACCTTGAAACAGAGGAGATACGACAAAGGGATTCTTTTTAGCGGTAAACACGCAAATTTGTGTCTTCTGAGGATTAAACTGGACTAGATTTAGTTGCCCCCAATCCGAGACTTTGTTCAGCAGCTTTGTTCAAATATATTCATAATAATTTA